ATGTAGGAAACGTTACTCCAGAGCAAAATACACCTCAAACTGAAAACATTACTCCAGAGCAAAATCCGCCATCAACTCCTGAAGGTGATCTTATATCGTTCGATAAAAACCCACCAACACTTCAGCCGAGAGAGGCAAGTGCGCCGGCAGTCGACCCTTTAACTGATGATGTTCTAAATACAGAAGCAGGATCAAGTTCTAATACTCAAGAAGAACAAAAAAAGAAATCAATTTTAACGATAGATGAATTAATAAAATAGTTATCAAAGCCGGAAATAAAAAACAATAAAAAAATTAGATCAAAGCATATATCTAAAAACGATAAAGAATGGTATGATTTAATGGAAATAGATAATGAAAAAGATAGTAAACCAAGTGATTCAGAATATGATACTGCTGAAGAAGAACCAGATATTCATTTTGAAAAAATCAAGGATCTATATATTAATAGAATAGCAGAAGCCAGAAAATTTAATGAAGGTGAGGTATGTGATTATTATGCATTTGTACCAAAAGGATACTATGCCGAGGGCGAGCCATTAGCTTTCTTTGAATCAATCGAAGAAAAAATTGCAGATATTTATAAAAAAGAGTTAGCTTTAAAAGATGGATTAAAAGTAAGAATCGTGTTATATGCATATATAAAGAAAATTAAACCAGAAACTTCAGAACCTTTATATAAAACTTTTTCATTCAAGCATGAAACAATATAAATTATTAGAGAAGATCGAATTAATGCAACAATAGAAAAAGGATATAATGAAATTATAAATCAAATAGAAGACGAGGCATTACAAGAATCTGGATGGTCATTCGTCCAAGCAGAAGAGGTATTTCTTGAAATAAGCGCATTCAGACCATTGCAAGGTAGTGGTTATCTACCTTTACCAGAAGCTTTAGATAAGCCACAACTAGGAATAATTAATCCACAAAATAGGGACGATAATAAGTGTTTTAAATAGTGTATAAGTGCATATCACACAAGAGAGGAAGCAAAAAAAGCAAATAGAAAGCCACCACATCTTAATGAAATCTGGAGACTTAGACGAAATGCAAATATAGCAAATTTTGAAGGTATAAAATTTCCAGCAACACTTCATGATATAGATAAATTCGAAGAAAGCAATCCTAATTATGCTATCAATATATTTAAACCATTTTATAGAGAAGCTTTCGGAAAAATAAAAGTAGATATAGATCCATTACATATTTCAGAACGTAATTATCAAGTAGAGCATATGATATATTTATTATATTTAATAGAAGGTAAAGAGAGTTTAAATGATTGAAAAAATCAAAATGATATACCAGAAGGCTTAAAAACATATTATGTATATATAACAGATTTCGAGCGATTAATGCATAAGTGGAATAACTATCATGATAAAAAATACTTTTGCCGAAAATGCTTGCGATTTTCATATAGTCGATTAGATTTATTACAGAAACATATTCTTACATGTCCAGGTCCAAATAAGGCTTCACAACGTTTAATTCTCCCAGAAGAAGATAAGAATTATGTAAAACCCAAGTATATCAAAAACATGTTAATGAAACCTTATTTAATAACTATAGATTTAGAAGCCAAAGAAATTGAAGCAAATGAAAAAGATAAAGAAGAAAATAGTATAAAAGAAGCAGAGCAGATAGCAGTTTCATATGGATATACTATTTATTGTTCAGATAGAACAATGCAAAAACCAGTGATTAATCGAGAATCAGAAAATATAATAAAAGACTTAATAGAAAACCTTCAAGAAGATCTAGAAGTTATTTTAAATAAGCTTCGTGAAATAGCTCCATGTGACAAAATGACACCTGAATTATAGCGAAAATATCAAACTGCAAACAAATGTTGGATATGTAAAGAAAAATTACATAAAGCTGAATATAATAAAATTCATATATTCGATCCTGAAACCAAAAAATATTTGGGTGCTTCGTATAGAAAATGTCACGAGAAAAAATTAATGATTCAAGATAAGTTAGATGATGAGCAAAAAGAAAAACATAAATCTTGTAAGGTATGTTTGTATTGCAAAACGCATTTACCAGATGAGGAAAAAAATAGAGTAATAGATCATGACCATATTACAAAAAAGTTTAGAGGACCAGCTCATAGTGAATGTAATTTAAAATTACGAATCAATTCAGAAACAATAAAAATCCCCATTGTAATATTATAGATATTTTTAAATATTATTTTATATTATTTTGTTGATATTATATTAGTTTTATATTATATTTTATTATGATCTATTTTTGAATCATTTTTATTTTATTATTTATATTATATTTTAGTATTATTTTTAGACTTAAATTATAGCATTGTCAATGTAATATATAGGATTATCAATGTAACAACATTAGTTTAACAAAATTACTATATTTAGACATTATAGCAT